CCTTGATTTCGGGCACTTACCTGTAGCCGTTTTGTCTCCGTTTGGCACCTGCTTCTTGGCAAATTAATAAATGATTATTATATTAACACAGCCCGTTAAGTTAAAAAGCGATTATGACATAACGAGGGCAACACCAGCAATTGTTGTTAGGCGGAAGAGAAAGAGAGCCTCATGGAAACCGAGACGGCGGAGTAAGTAAGGAGTCCTCATCTCGTCTCCCAATAATTTATCCATTAAGATTGCACGCGCCCGATTATGTGCTACGTGGCCTGGTCGGTCGTTGGTGTTTGGCCAAGAGTTCCCAGGTCTCGACCGCAGTTGGCTGACTGGCTGGCTGGCTAGAGAGATGGAGATGGTTATTGGGGCTCGGCCCACAGTTGATTTAATGCGCCAAATTATAAAATTGTTGTTGATTTAATTTTATGAGTGTAAACCGCTCCGTCCGGCCGCAGTGTCGGTCGATCAGTCAGCGCTACTCGTCTTTGTTTACCATCTGCAACTCCATCTTCGAGTCCAACTCTAACCGAGACTCCTCTTGTAACCATGTTCTCGCCCGTTTATCGCAAATCTTCAACTGGCAACGTTGGGTAACCGCAACCGAAAAGTTGCAACTCCAACTGGCAAACTGGCAAACTGGCAACCTGGCAACGTAGAACGTTAACATGAACGTGACATGTGAATTAGGAATCGGACATGGCACATTGGGCTGGAGAGTGGTTCCAGGTCCGCTGAAAGGTACCTTTTACCCATCCATTTATCTTGTTTTTCTCATAAATTAATTGACACTAATATGGCGCTAGATATCGGGTGTGATCTTGGTTTGGTTTCCATTTAAATGGATGGAACTTAAGGGTTATTAGTATACAGAAAGAATAATAGGTAAGTAATCAGAGTCTTTAACATTGTTTCCTTATGAACTGAAATCTATATAAAGTTCGAAGCTAGAAGCTTGTAAGGTAGTCTAAGACTGTTCCCCAAGACTAACAAAACAGTTTGGAAAGAAACCCTTAAAACTTAAATCTCAACCTATAATCCCACATAAATCTTCATAAAACACGATTGTAGAAGAGCAACCATAACATGTACCACCAATCGAAAAGTGAGGATTATCCGCAAAAGAAAGGTTTCTCCTGTTGGGCCCATCAATTGGCTCTCACATCTCTGTTCGCAGTGACCTGCTTGGGTGCCTGTCAATTAAGCAGGGACTCTGGGACCCAGACCATTTCCATCTTTATTTCCACCTAAAGACGACCAACATGACCAACCACCCGCTGCTCGATGCAGTCAATAATCGAAATACTAAACCCGCTTAACTGCACTCCACTCCACTCTCTACTCCAAAAAGAGTTACTATAAGAGTGATGGGATCGGGATTGGGATTGGGAGATGGAGATGGAGATGGGTCCCGGAACCGAGGGAGTGTGTTACCCGCAGACCAAGACGTGCACAATTTGGCGCCCTACTTTGGCATCCACACACTCACACAGCTCCTACGCATAAAGGGCGTCCAATCTGATCGAAACGGAGCGAGCGAGCGGAGTTAAGTGTTAATAAATCGCTGGGGACCCAATGAAGATCACGGGGATTTGTTTCAAACTGTTTTTATATTATTTTTACAACTTCGTTTGGGCCGAGCTGCTCCGTTCCCTGGTTATTACTTAACAAATTAGCTCAAATTAATCAGAAACGAAAGTAACACCGCATGCAGCACTTTGGGGTCAAGACAAATGGCTGCGTACGCAGTGAGGGGGCAACTTCAAACTATCCATATCCATATCCATATCCCATAGCCATATCCATATCCACCTGGGTGGCTGCAACATTTTGAGACGGGCCAATGACACCACCTATAAGTGCATCCATTTGGATGCCACTCCACACACACACACACACACACACACACTGATCCCAGATGCTTCAAACAATTTGCAAGCTTTCAATCAACCTCTCTGCTCGGGGTTCTGCATTCTGGATTGGCTCCCTAATCGATCACAGAACTCGTATTCCCGCTCGATTCCTTCCATCATTCATGCGATCAGCATTATCTGCCGTCAGGCATCGTTGTCAGCCGTTGGTTTGCCAGCTACCAAGTGGTGGCAAGTGGTACAAGCCACAGGGGCAGCATCATCTCCATCTCCATCGAAGCATCTTTGCATTGGTGTATTGGTGGTAGTATCGAAGTATCGGAGAGTGCGTAAGAGGTTCGCCAAAAGCGTAATTAACGTTCGCATATTTTGCTGTCGGATTATCGCGAAAGCGACTGCGCGACAAAAGCTTCCTGTGCAAATTGAACGGATAATTGCGCGGCATAACTGTAAATACAGGAGGTTACCTTCTGAAGGAGAAGGCGATGCACATCTGTTTTAAATTAAAGCGGTTTATAGATCGTTGTGGTGGAAGAATATCCCTAAAATCAACTAGAAAAATGGTCGACTTCTATGGTTTACTTTTACTGTAAGTTTCTGTCTAGGGAACTTAGTAGTTAGGATAGTAGTTAGTAGTAAGTAGTTATTTCTCAGCTAAAGAGTTACAAATCGATCTTAATAGCAAGGTAATCCCTCTCCTTAAATACCAACCTAATTGATGTCCCCAAACCGAAACACCCACGAACCCAATTAACTAAATATAAATCGCTGGCAATTAATAACAACTTAACAATGTTTCCCTGCCAGTGAGGGTGGTCTAAAAAAGAAAAAAAACCTAGGAATTTTCCAATTTCCCAGCAAATGGTTACTACAATACCTTATAGCCTAGTCTCGAGTGGCTACGACTGTTTGTAAAATGATATGAGCAACTTTTGGGAAAATGATTTCCAACAATCGAAACTCTCCTTTCTTCCTCTCTCTCTCTCTTTCTACTAATCCTTCGCATGGACGCTTATCGCCCGCGCCCTGGACGCTAATTTGATGAGTCATCTGTGCCGACTTCGACTGCGGTCCGATAGCCATCTGCCCCCTGCCCCTCTGAGCACCTAAAATCCTAAACTAAGGAACACCCCTTCCCTGAGAGACCATTCACCTGAGTTCTTTACCTGCCCGAAGGGGCATTGTCGTAAATTTAACGTTTGTCATTGAATGGGAGTGTTTAGGCATCATCTAGGGACGATATGTTTGTGTTTGTATTGAGTTTTCCTCGAAAATGTCACAAGAAATGGTAAGAGAGCGGGGGAATGTCAACACACAAAGTGCGGCAGTTGGAAGGTTGATGAGGAGGAGGAGGAGGAGGTGGGGGGAAAACTAGATGATAATCGGATCGTACCTTTGGGTATCTCATTTCTCCATAAAAATTGGTAACAATGAACAAAACCAGCCAAACAATTTCTATTTCCTACCCTCTGGCGCAGCTCTGCTGGTTGGGAACGTAATTACTTTGATATCCGAGCCAGAAGGCATTCCTCCGACCTTATCGCTCTGAAATGGAGAATCCCATTTACACGGCTCATCGATCCAAGGGAAAGGACTTGTGCCGCTGGTGAAAGTCGGGCTAAGGGTTATGGCAACGAATATGGATCAGTATCAGACTGGAGCAGATGTCGGCGAGGATAACAGGAGGTCGGCCAGGATATTAAGGGTTTTAACTTGGAGTGTCTGGTAGGGAAAAGGAAAAACCAATTTCAGATAATGGTAAAGTGAAAATAAACCAAGCTGGAAAAGCATTTCTAACAGTTTCATTTTACTCTTTCAGAAATTTATTTCCTCCAATACTAAACAACATTTTTCTCACTGTTCCTCAAAGATTTATTAATTTTCCCAGAAAATATTTCCAATCAAAATCAGATTTGTGGTTTAATAAAAATATAAAAACGTATACTATAAAAATATTTATTTAAATTCAAATAAAAACTTTAATAGCCTATAGCCAAATTTTCAAGAAATCAAAATCAATTTCGATTTTCGACATTAAATACTCTCAGGGATCCGATCCCATGTCGGCTTTTGTTGGATCCGTTTTGGGTATTACACTCTAATGCGAATCCCATCGCAGGCGTGTGTGTTTGTGAGTCATCTGCGGTCGCAATTTCAGAGTCAGAGATTCATTGGCCATTCAGTTGCATGGACTGTGCCCCCCTGCAGCTATCATAAAAGGCCGGCGTCGCCAAAAGGAAGAGTGGATGGGAGTAGAGGAAGAGGTGCGGAAGTGGAGCGAAGCGGAGGAGGCTAAGGTCGGTCGCCTACTTACTCCGGAGCTGTCAGCTTATCATTTCGCTTTTAGCGCACCACAAGGCCCCGGAAAGTGTGTCCTGCGCGGCTGGGAGAGGGTGCGTGAGTGCACTGAGAGAAATCGGAATTCACTTTTAATGATTTATTCCAAAATAACCCCATAAAGTACCTATTAAGTTCACATTCTTCCCCTTAAGTTCACTGAAAAACTAACTTTAAGTTTCAAAAATATTTCAGTATTCCTCCTATTTTCTTCAAGTGCATGTTGGGGGCTCATTATCGGAGTGCGCTCAATGGAATGTAATGGTGGCCCCACCCCTTGGGCCACCACTTGACTTGGCTCCTCTCATCTGGCCAGCAGTTTGCGTGCTGGAACGCCGCTGTCTCCGCTGGCATTTCGTGTTATCCTTCAGCTCAATTTCGGCTACTTTTGGATGTCTCTCAGTGAGTTTGTTTTCTTCTCTTCTTTTTTTTTTTTTTTTTTTTTGTTCATTTTGGATTGCATTGCATGTCGCATGTCGCACTCGAACTCAAAACTCGAACTCCAGCGCTCGCTGTGTGTCTCTTTCTGGCTTTCCGTTCGCCTCTCCTCGTCCGTCCGATAAGGTTTTAAGTTATGACCTTTTAAAATGTCCAAATGCGGCGATAACACGTGATTACTACAAATGTATTCGGAGAGTGCAGCGGATCAGGATGCGCCACAAAAAAGAAAGAAATATCCGTGGCCCTTTCAAAAAAAGAAAAGGAGAGAGAAGGAGAGGGAGACGGAGAGGAAGCGGCGGCCAGGCACCTTGGCAACAGGCAACAAATTGTTTTGGCCTCCAACTAACAAATGAAATCCTAAATCACACAGCACTCCCGCTGCTCCCACTCCTGCGAGATGCCAAAGCTTCTGTCCAGTTGGGCTCCAGGACATAGGTTCTACTGGATGGAGTAGCTCTTCATGCGAAGGAATCATAAATATCGATCAAAACGTCAACGTTTTATCTATTCCACAAATCGATCGTACACTGAGGGAAATGAGGGGCTTACTAGGTGGGGATATAGGAAAATAATGTGAAAAATATGAATAACCCTTTGATTTTAAAACTAATTTTGATTTTTGAGAACCTTCATATCAATATTATATTAAAGATACTTCCCTTTTGACATCTCCCAAGTTTCCCAGCCCTGACTGTTCCACATCCATTCACCATGTAAAGAGAAACCCACGAGCAGGGCTCTCAAGAAGGGGAGGCACTTTCAAGCAAAGGGTTGGGGGTCGATCACTTTGTAAATTGTTGGACCTTGCATAATTTAAGCATAATTCTTATTTTATTCCTGGCCGTGAGTGTGTGCTCCTCTGCCGTGAGTGTGTGCGGATGCTCCCAGGAATTTCATCTTTCGCTGGCATATGTCGATATGCCAGATATCCGTCGCGGTCCAAGCGGTCAGCTACCCAACAAAATGCTCCAAGGGATTTTTAGCCAACCCCTCTCCGCGCCACTGATTATTACGTGGGGGGAAGGAGGAGCAGAGAGGGAGGCGTATATATGGCTAATAATAACAATAATAATATGCGTTCGCTTATCAAAATTGACGTCAGATCTTATTGATATGCATCTGGCAGTGGAGTTTTTGGCCAAGAACCACACAAAGGAAAATCGTGTCAGGGAATCGCTTGGGCTTAATTGAAGCGTTATTATGCGACTGTCACATACACGCAAACATATGCAAAACGTTCAGTTTTGTGGGTTCGCGATCCCCATATACATATATATACATATACCCACCCGTATGCACCAGATCTCTGGCAGATCTCTGCCACAGACCAGGTCCTGCTGCGCCTGTGCGAAACCTTCACCTTCGCTTCGACTTGACAGATGCCTCAGAATTTTTAAGCACCGCAGGCCATCTCGGAACTTCTGCCACGGCAGCCGTCTTTTATTAATCAGCAGACTGTCCAGCGGAGGGGATCTGGTGGGGGGCGGGGAACAGCCGCTGTTGCGAATATTATTTATATCGAATTTAATAATAATTCTTGAGCCGCTGCTGCTGCGTAGGTTGCCGCTGCCGCCGCTGCTGCTGCTGCTCTTGGCCAGTTTGATCAGCTCAGAAAATTTGCATTGATCGACGTTGCAGATATGGACAGGCGGAGGCCAGAGTCAAAGTCAGGACAAGGTCTTTCACTGAGAGAAATAAAAAATAAAAAGAGTTTACTTATCTAAAGAGAAAGTAGTTCTTGCTTAGCTTGTTCGCCTTGACTGAATTAGCATGCAACTTGTAGTGGTTCTTGATAGATGTTTATGTTGACAGGCGATTTGTAATAACTAGATCAGGTATCAGATGTCAATGGGCGAAAATGAAATAGTTATGGAAAGTTGTACATGAGGTTAATTAGCTTAAAAGGAAAGGTAAACATTTCGGCATAGAAACTCTATCATAAGAGAGGTCCCAAGACCATAAACAATATATTTCCTGAGTGCATCGATCCCCTGCCAAACGAAACCGCGATGTGAAGATGCTGCGGATGCCGATCGGTCTCAGCGCTGATGATGAACAGCGATCTTGGGCAGTGAGGTAGAGGAGAGAGAAGGCAACACGGCGAGGGCGGCATGAGCCATTTTAACTTTATGTACTTTCGCCCGGGTGAAAAGTATGCGCCGCCCTTATTAGCATGCCGCGGACGTTCTGCGCTCGGCGGCGGAGGAAAGTGGGTTACCCACCCATACCAACGCCTTCCCCCCTCCGGGGGCTTAATGTGCCGTTTTGTTAAATTGCAGCGTTAAGAATTGCGCACATAAAGCATTTTGTTGTCAAACTGATTTCTGATCATACATAATTTTTATCTTGATCCAAATAAAGCTTACACGATCAGAACGCTGCAGCTTGGGCTGGTTGGGCCCCTAGGGCCACATAAACCAGTATCGATACTATATACTCTACCCTACCTCTCCATCGTTAATATATGCATGCGTGGTCAGAGGCGATATATATATAAATATTTTTTTTTTTGGCTGATTCGTAGCTGTGGACTTTTAATGGGGAATTTGCCGAGCAACAAATGAGCCTTGGCCATATGCAAAAAGAGAAGTATAAAAAAAATTATAAGTATTTTCCCAAAAAAAAAAAAAAGAGCACTCTGGGCGTTTCAAATGCTATGCCTTATTTGTCGCTGCGGTCACGCCCCTCGCCCACAAGAGCCGACGAAAATGGCTAAGTGGCCAACACTTAAGTGCACCATAAAAATCGGAACGCATAAATCATCTCCCCAAAAAAATCCACATAATAATCGGTTAAATGGCTGTCCGAAACACGAGTCAGCGATAACTATCGACTCCGTTGTCTCTCGGACATGGCCTTAAATTGACACAAAAATCAAATCAACTTTTTATGAGCATAGTTATGAACCTGAAGTGTTTTATTGTCCATCGTTAACTCTTTCGAGAATATCAATTTGGGTTTTGATTATTGTTCCCAGGCATAGAGCATTGATTATGCGATAACTATCAATAAAACAGAAAATCCCCAATGATCCACAGCTCTTAGTATCAAAATGTAAGACAATAAAGCTCTTGGCCGATTTCTTATTACGAAAGCATTACAACGATGGGCTTTATGGCATTGGAAAGACAGTCGGAAACGGGATTACTAAACAATAAGCTGTAATAAAATACAAATTTTCAGCTTTAACACTCAGTTTCTATTTGATTTGGTCAATGAAAAAAGTCTTCTAGCTGAGATGTGAATCTTGTATCTGTTTAGATGTGAAAAAACCAACTTAACTTTAAATTTGATTAATAAGTACAGGGTGGCCAGTGTAGCGTTTGCTTTTTGAACTATCGATAATTTTAACTTTAAGATTTCGAATGTCATTGTCTATAAGTCAGATATTTAGTAGAAGGTTTGCGGTTTATAAAATGGTTAAGTTTACGTTAGAGGAAAATTGGGAAATATTGATATTTTTATAGCGATTTTAAAACGGAAATCTTCCGAGGGCCCCCCTATGTGTTCATAAACAGTTCAGACAAACTATATCTTAAGAAGCTAAATTATAGAATTAAATATTAATATTTATATAAAAAGGATTTAAGTTTTCTATATTTAAATGAAACTCTTAACAAAGTTTCAAAATAAATTAATTTTCCTTCATCAAAATAAACCAAGCAACCTTTTTAAATCGATTTTTCCTCTTTATTTCCTTACAAACCATCCAAACATTTATCCAATAATACATATTTTTATAAATTTCTTTGCTTCCTTGACCCAGTTTAAATAACCAGCAACAAAAACAACAAAAATACCCAAACCGAATCGTACATTTTACAGAAAATGATGCTTCATGTTTGCCTGCCCTGAACTTCCCTCCCACCTGAGCAAAGGGGCACATAAATTGGCTCCCAATATCCACAAAACGACAGTAAACGGTCATTTTTATCGAAATAATTGCATTTTGTTTTTGTTTGTTTGTTGGTCTCAGTCAGTTGGTCTGTTTTGGGGCCCTGACTTTGGCATTGGCAGCGAAAGTTTTGATTGCGTTCCGGCGGCGTTAGCAGGCCCTGGATAATCCACTCTGTTTCATTACGAGCTTTAGAGTCGAGAATGCCGGAGGGTCGGGCCAAACGAGCCTCTGATTGTGCATACGCACGAAATCAATAAATAAAAGAGCGGCCAGAAATTGCCCCGATCCTCGGATGACCAAGTATCCAGAGATACCCAGGTAGTAACCAAGGTATCCAACTGCAAATGGAGCCCACGCCGCCGCCCTGCCTCAAGATGCAACTTCTCGGTCTGATGCGCGGCCATAATTCATTTCATTATTGTTTTGACATTTTATTTATTGAATGCGAACAGGCTGACCCCTCATACCGCTTACCTCCTCTTTTTTCCACGTGTTTAGTACTCTCTCTCTCTCATCCCCCCTTGATTCCGCAAATGTTTTGTGCAAATTGTTAACGGGCTTGTTTCATTTTTTAGGCCCTGGTAAGTGAGTGAAATCAATGCCTTCAATGGCTGGGTGCTGTGTGCTGTGTGTGTGGTCTCATCGTCTGGCCAAGCAAAACAAAAGACTTAGGCAACAAACTTGGCTTCGAAAGAGAAAAGTGTTTTTCAAGCAAACAATCGAAATACTTATGGAAATGTTACAAGGCAAGCCAAACAAGACGCTAAATTTACATAAATTGCCCTCAAATCAATTTAGTTAGCTGAGTGAACCGGTTCGGGGCCAATGGCTTTTATGATCAATCCTCTCTTAACCTCCATTCAACAGCTGAAGCATCAATTAATGATCTGCATGGAGAGAGAGAGAGAGAGAGTTTCTTCAATTAGACGCGTCCATTAAGATCACATTCCAATATAGAGCACTCTACACTCATCCCACGCAACACAGCCATGCCCACGCCCACATAGCCGCCCTTCTGCTGCCACTTCATCGATTGCCAAATGCCAAATGGCTGACAATTAATACACACCTCGCTGCACTTACCAATTTGATAAATTGGTTACCCCAACGCCAGGCAAAAAAGTTATGGAAATTAGCTTGCCGCCGAGAGTTAATGGAGTCAAAACGCTTATAAAACTTATATGCCCTGCCGACTGCAGCAGCTGCTGCCTGCAACACACAGTCCAGAATATGACAATATGGCTGGAAATTAATCTTGCATAGAGCCGGAGAGATGTAGATCCAGGGAGAGGGCGTAGTAGGATCGTAGGAACGTAGGTCTAGGCAGGATGTGGACTGCCATTGTCGCCCGGTTTCATTCGGTCTCAGACTGTGAGACTCTGAGACTCTCTGAATGTGAACTTGATTATGTTTTATGAGACTTGCTGCCGATGCTGTTGCCGTTGTTGTTGTAGTCCGTTGCATTGCGTTGCATGCAGCAGATGCTGCAAATCCGCCAACTAAGTTGCATCTGTACGCCATTAGATGTCGCCCATAAATTGTGGTATCATTTTTTATACGCTCTTTGGGTCCGGCCATCTAAATGACCCAAGAAAAGGGATTCCTTATGCCCGTTTTCCCTGTGCCCAGTGGGCGTTTATCTGTTTGCCACTTTTTGATTTGATTATTTAGTTTCTACGTCTATCCCCCTCTAGTTATGGTCTAGCACTCTGTAATCAGTAATTTTTATCCAAATCAATATTTGTAGTTTTGATAGAAATTAAGTCTAAGAAACTTTTGTTTTGGATGATCAGGAAATGGAGTTTTTGTAATGTTTTTAATATATAAGAAGTACATAAAACATAACTTTAAAGTATATATTAAAATATATTTAATAAAACTTTATAAAGGTAACAGCCTAAACCTAATCTAACTCTGCTTCTAACTCCTAGCCTCGATCAACTTAAAACTAGCAGCCATTTCCTTAAGATTCCTCTTCTGGAATTCCAATTTAAACTGTTTAAAAAACTGAAAATTGGAGTTAACAGACACCTGTGTCTACTTTATTTAACTTCTTCTCGAATTATAAAATAAAATTTAATACAACCTGTCCCGCTTAAAAACTGTAATGACCCGGATCTCTATATTAAACATGCTTAAAAGCAAACAAGTGATAAATTTCTATAAAAATCCTATAAATGTTTAAGCAATTATTAACAATAAAAAGTTGGCTAAAATATGATCATAATAACAATTATTTGTTTTCTTAAAGTAATTACATAAATATGCAATTCTCACACTTAACACAGAGACCACTGTACTGGTCCTCCCACGCAGCCTTTACCCTCAGTCTCAGAACATAGCCCTCGCCTCGACTCCTTCTAAGAGCCATGTTTCCGTATCATTGTTGATGACATTTATGTCTTAATATTTTTGCAGGCCCAAATGCAAATGCAGTGGCACTCAGGCCAGTACCGTTAGCCAGCAGCGCCATTAGCCAAGTTGAGAGGCTCAGCGGATCTACACACACACTTATGCCAACCATTAATTTCCATTTATGGATTAAGCAAGTGAGCGGACCGACCAGCGGGGAGTTTCTCTTCTTCTTTTTGAAGGAGCAGATGCAGATGGAGATGGAAATGGAGATGGCGGAGGAGAAGGGGCAACCCGAAGCCCGCACGCACAAAAGCCTTTAATAAATGCATCGCCATTACGACCAGCACATGGTTAGGAGTAGCAAGGAGCTGCCAGCACCAGCAAGCTCCGGCAAGCAGCAGCAGCAACATCATCAGCAGTTGCAGTTGCAGTTGCAATAGCTGTTGCTCCTTTGAGCTCCAAAGTCAAAGCCAGATGGCCCAGCTGGTTGGAACAACTCAATTGCCATCTCTCTTGGTTTCTCAGTTTTCCCGAGCTGCTTATCGCCGTTGCGCCGCCGTTGCCGTTGTGTGGTTGCAAATTCTGGTGGTGCTGTTGCAGCTTTTCCATCTGCCCCAACAGCCACTCGGCCCAAATCTTTAAATGCCGCTCATGTGATTTTTCTTGGTCGCAGCGGAATGGAATGGAGTCTCTGGGATTAGCGCGAGTGAGTAATGATTGTGGCCTGCTCCGGCGACGGAGATGAAGATGGAGGCCACAGCGATGTGGATCGTTTGGGGATATGGAAATGTATATGCGAGTATGTGACAGGGGGTACGTAGGCAAAGATTTTTGGAATTCTTTCAATTTGATTTTAAGGGTTTTTTTATATTTTATTTAATTTTATTAATAAATCATGAAAAATTATGCTTAAAATAACTTTTACTGTGGTTGTTAGTGCATATATTAAGATTACAGATAAAGATGGGAATACTTTAAGAAGTAACCCTTAAATATCAGTTTTAACTTTCATATGTTAACAAATTATAGGTTTAACTTTAAAATTTTATAGTTGCCAAACCAGCTTATCAAATTTAATGTAAAAAAACCAAGAGATCTATGATTTTAGCCTATAATTTGTTTTAATTTTCTTACTTAGTTTTAAGCAAACAATAAAGACACATGTTAAATGCTAAATACAAGCAAGCAAATAAAATAAAATAAATAAATAAAGAAGGATTCCTGGAACTCAACCAATTGGTTACTCCATCACGTGAAGAGTGGACTTGCGGCTGATCTGGGATCGTGGATAGCTAAGCAAACACTCTCGCCGGCGACTAGTCATAGTCACACAAAGCCTTGAGAATGCCAGCCCCTCCGCCCCACCCCCACATACAAACACACACCCTTTGGGGGCATCTGTAACGCCCTCTTTTGGGATGATTATTGTCCAGTGGGCGGGGGAAGGACGAGGTCGACTCTGAAGCTGAAGATGGGATGGGGATGGGAGCTGCGCGCTGCCGCTGTTGATATTAATGTAGCCCTGTCCGAGTGGCAAATGAATGCCATCAATCAACGCGGAGCGTGCGCATTCACAGTTTGCTTCGAGGACAAATACAAATACAAATACGTATCCCAAACACACAAATACAAATACAGGAAAACAAACACCAGTGCACAAGGAATATGAGTGTGCGCATGCGCAGAACGTTATGGTTTTTTGAAGGAAAGGTCTGCTAACCAAACAACAGGCACTGAGAGAAAGTGGGTTAATGTTGCAATGTTGCAAGTTTAAGATGGTTCCGCTTAGCAGGATTCCTTGAAGGATTTGGCAGGATTCTTAGAAGTTTTGCAGTTTAAGATTTGTAAAGAAAAATACTTCTTTTTTGTATGTTTTTTCTGTTTGTTAAACAAGCCATCAAGCCGCCTTTTTGAAACTAATTAGCTTCTAATTAAGATTATTATCTTCCGCTTAACCTGTAATCAACTTGTAATGGAACTTGTAACCAACTAACTCACTAATTAACCTAAGTACGTGACTTGATAAAAACCATTATTTTAGACGTTGTTTTGTAGATAAGCAAAGTTAAGGAACAAGTCTTGATTTTGAGGGAGAGATTTATGTTTAGTTTTGAACCTGTTAATGGGTTTAGTAAAACCAAAAATCTGAAAAGCCTTTGTTTCCTAACAAACCATGAGATAAAGTTACATATTCTCAAATTTATTACATTTTGAGATCCATCTCCATCTGCCTTCTCAGTGCATTATCCTGATGACGAGAGCCACATGGCCAAGGGCGCGACTTTGCTGCCTTCTTTGCCTGCACTTGACAAATGTGAGAGTGCGAAAAGTGCCCTGCGTTGGGCGCCATTAATTGTTTCGCCGGGAAGGGAGGAAGAGAGAGAGACCAGAGCGGAGTAAAGAGGTGCAGCGATTATTGAACGCCATATTGTCAGAGCTGTCCCTCTCTCGCTCGCTCGCCCATTAGGTGACGTCTTAATTGCCAACTCTTCGTCTACAGCGGGGGGCGTTATAAATTAAATTTATGTTTTCTATGCAATTTATTACTTGGAAAATAACATTTATATAGAGCTTATTGCACAAGGCGCCGCGATTGGAGGCTTGATCGTGCTGACAAGGCTGCGCCACGCCCAACTTCGGTTGAGCTTTTGATGATGTTGCCCCGGCCAAGGCAGCCGGCTTCATTTTCTGATCTAGCCATGTGTGAGTGCCCCTTCTTTACCTCCCCTTCAAAAGAGAGAGAGATATATATATATCCCCAATCTGGTCTGCCCACCCGACTTCGATCCGAACAACAAGATAAGCCATGGTCGGGCGTCAGTTTTCCGCTTTTTAGCCGACTTTTTGGCTTCCTGCAGCTGAGGCTCTGATTTAATTTGGGCTCCTTGTGGTCTGGCTGCAGCTTTTACCCAAGCAGGTCAACTCGGAGGTTCAACAAATGTCCCAAATTTGTTTGGCTTCGATGTTGCTGTTGCCGCTTGCAATTCGTTAACTGATCTGCCGTTGTCAATATATTTTATGTTGTCTTCGATTATTTTATGTCGGCCATGGCGGGGTAAGTTAGTGTTGGGGTTTCTTGAGGAATTTTGCACTATTAAAAGCTAGGTTGAGGTATAAAGGGTTTGGTAATTGTTTAAAAATATAAGAAAATGTTTAAAGATCTCTTTAATAGCCAATGGTTATGTTTTTTTATCTAAGTAATAAAATATACATAACCTTTTGCCTTTTTTAAGTTTAAATTTCCAAACTCTTTAATGTGCTTAAATTTTGATTTATCTGCTTAAGTTAAGTAACAGCCATCAACAGCAGTTAAAGGCATAATTCTTTAGAGCATCTAACTCTCGTTCAAAGACCTAACAGCTTTTGATTTAACCTTTTTTATTGGATTTATCGGCTTTTGTGCATCTTGCTACTCTCGTTTTTTCGTGCCCAGCAACATGACAGTAAAAACAATAACCATGAAAATAAACAACAACAAAAAAACGAAACCAATAAAAAAAAAAAGCTACGAGACAAAAAATCGAATCATAAAGCATTTTGACATTGTTACAAGTCAGCGGGAGATATTTCACTTTTAACCTTTCGCTTGACTTTTCCGCCAGCCAAAACTTAATAAAAATAAATAAAAATTGAAGGGAGTTAAAGTTTTGCTTGCCAAGTAGTTAAAGATATTTTAAATAGCCTTTAATTCTGCTCATAACTGCAACTGCAACTGCAACTGTGCGTGTGCCTAGTACAGTGCAGAACATTCATGGCAGTCCAGTGTGCACTTGCCATATAGGTATTTCCTTGTGATTTATAGGGACCGTGCGTGGTTGTAGCATGTGAAAAATGAATACGAGATTTATAACATCAGCCTAATTGAATGTTTGATCCTGGGCATAAATAACCAAATTAATGAAAATGATTTTTAATAAATTTCTCAATTGCATGTTTACCCCCGCTGCTCCCTTGGCTGCCTTCCTTGGCCCTGCCTCATTGCCTGGTTTATGGGTCTGCAACTCCAACTAGACACGCTGCGAACTTGGCGATATCCTGCTGGGCATGAGTAATGTTCCTCTATTAGCCGCTGCATCACTCTGGCTAATGGAGGATCCACTACCGACTGGGCTATAGGTATGTAAAGAGTACATATATAGCCAGTAAGGGATCCACAGCTGCCTTTGCTTGTGTGTCATTCACCCGCTTAATTATGAAGAAATGCATCCCTTTTTGTGATAATTAATGGCGCCATTCGAATCGGTCGGCAGCATTTTCGTTGGTTTTAGCTCAATTCACGGATAATTGGGGCGGCAACATTGTCGCCAGGTTCTGCTTCATGTTCCTGCTCCAGCAACTGCCTCTGCCTCAGCATGTTACCCAAAACAACAATTTCCCTTGTGCTTTTGATTTCCCGCGAATCTGATCGCCTGATCGTTTGGCATTGGCATTGCGGCGCATATTTCGTGGCATGCCCCGCTTGACAACTTCAATTAACGATTGCCGAGTGCGTGTAATTAGCGCATTTTAGTCTCCTTTATCTTCCTCACCCTCATCTCTCGGGCCATCTTCTTGGACCGTTTACCGAAAATGAAACGAAATACACGATTTTTGCAATTTTGGCATACTTTTGTCAGATATACTTGTATATACAACCGATCTCCTTCTCCTTCTATATAATCGAAATAAGAGAAGAAGAAAAAAACATCAACTCAACAAATTTGGGCAGTCGGGAGTATCGAGATATCAATCGATAATGAGGAAATGGAAGCCGTTTGTCATCGCCTCCCCTGGCGGATGAGTTATGCGTGGGTATGTAGGAGTATGTAACTTTCTTGGCCAGTTTCCAGCGACAGGAAAACAACAATAAATGTCAGTTTGGCTAGGCAAAAGGGTCTCTGCCTGGAATATCTAATGCCATAATGGGGCATGCGTTGACTTTGAAGAGCAGTTCCCATTGGAGATGGTTATTGGCATGAAGGGAATGTAAGGGAATGCTAGGCAGTTGGCAAAGTGAGAAACTAACTTCAGGTTATA